GTATATCTCCTAATGCTATCCCTTCCCCCTACCCCCTCCCCACAATAGGACCTGGTGTGTGATGCTCCCCTTCCAGTGTCCAAGTGATCTCATTGTTCAATTCCCATCTATGAGTGAGAACGTGCAGTATTTGGTTTTCTGTTCCTGCGATAGTTTGCTGAGAATGATGTTTTCCAGCTGTATCCATGTCACTACAAAGGACACGAACTCATCCTTTTTTATGACTGCATAGTATTTCATGGTGTGAATGAGCCACATTTTCTTAATCCAGTCTGCCACTGATGGACACTTGGGTTGACTCCAAGTCTTTGCTATTGTGAATAGTGCTGCAATAAACATACGTGTGCATGTGTCTTTATAGCAGCATGACTTAGAATCCTTTGGGTATATCCCCAGTAATGGGATGGCTGGGTCAAATGGTATTTCTAGTTCTAGATCCTTGAGGAATCGCCACACTGTTTTCCACGATGGTTGAATCAGTTTACAGTCCCACCAACAGTGTAAAAGTGTTCGTATTTCTCCATATCCTCTCCAGCACCTGTTGTTTCCTGATTTTTTAATGATTGCCATTCTAACTGGTGTGAGATGGTATCTCATTGTGGTTTTGATTTGCATTTCTCTGATGGCCAGTGATGATGAGCATTTTTTCATGTGTCTGTTGGCTGTATGAATGTCTTCTTTTGAGAAGTGTCTGTTCATATTCTTTGCCCACATTTGGATGGGGGTGTTTTATTCTTGTAAATTTGTTTGAGTTCTTTATAGGTTCTGGATATTAGCCCTTCGTCGGGTGAGTAGATTGCAAAAATTTTCTCCCATTCTGTAGGTTGCCTGTTCACTCTGATGTTAGTTTCTTTTGCTGTGCAGAAGCTCTTTAGTTTAATTAGATTCCATTTGTCAATTTTGGCTTTTGTTTCCGTTGCTTTTGGCGTTTTAGACATGAAGTCCTTGCCCATGCCTATGTCCTGAATAGTATTCCCTAGGTTTTTATCTAGGGTTTTTATGGTTTTAGGTCTAACATTTAAGTCTCTAATCCATCTTGAATTAATTTTCGTATAAGGAGTAAGGAAAGGATCCAGTTTCAGCTTTCTACTTATGGCTAACCAATTTTCCCAGCACCATTTATTAAATAGGGAATCCTTTCTCCATTTCTTATTTTTGACAGGTTTGTCAAAGATCAGATGGCCACTGCTCGGTGAAATAAAAGAGGGCACCAACCAATGGAAGAACATACCATGCTCATGGATAGGAAGAATCAATATTGTGAAAATGGCCATACTGCCCAAGGTAATTCATAGATTCAATGCCATCCCCATTAAGCTACCAATGAGTTCCTTCACAGAATTGGAAAAAACTGCTTTAAAATTCATATGGAACCAAAAAAGAGCCCGCATTGCCAAGACAATCCTAAGCCAAAAGAAAAAAGCTGGAGGCATCACGCTACCTGACTTCAAACTGTACTAAAAGGCTACAGTAACCAAAACAGCATGGTACTGGTACCAAAACAGAGATATAGATCAATGGAACAGAACAGAGACCTCAGAAATAATGCTCCCACTCTATTCTAAATTTAAAACAAGTTTCTAAGCAAGACTCTTGCAAAGATTAAATGAGACTAGATTTGGGCTTGTCGACTTGTACATAACAGGCATTGAATGGTTCCTAAAAATAACAAAATAAAAATGATGACTTTCAAAAGACATAGAAACCTAATTTTAGGATCTTTTTGTCTATTAAAGAACTGCATATTTAAGACATTATTCAAACTCCTCAAATATCCACCCCATTGATTTGGGGTGGAGAGTTCTATAGATGTCTATTAGGTCTGCTTGCTGCAGAGATGAGTTCAATTCCTGGATATCCTTGTTAACTTTCTGTCTCGTTGATCTGTCTAATATTGACAGAGGAGTGTTGAAGTCTCCCATTATTATTGTATGGGAGTCTAAGTCTCTTTGTAAGTCTCCAAGGACTTGCTTTATGAATCTGGGTGCTCCTGTATTGGGTACATATATATTTAGGATAGTTAGCTCTTCCTGTTGAATTGATCCCTATATCCACCCCATTGAGTGACAGTAAAAATTATTTGATATAATTGAAATAAAAGGATGTTGATTACAATATCCTTGTTTGTCTATACATTAACATTCTAGCTTTCTGAGTCAAATTCTTCATAAGAATTTTTAATGGAGTTTTCTTGCTCATATTAATAAATAAAATTATATTTACTTGGTACATACATAAGAAAAGAAATAGAAGAAATTCAAATGTTTCTCCAGGAGAGATAAAATGTGTTTGGACAGAAAGCAGCACAGTCTTATATAGTTGGGTCTCAAAGAGTCAGTAAAATGCTAAAACACAAACTTTCCAGCTGAAAATTTTCTTGACAATTAAATGGAGAAATCTCAAATGTCAGATAATTCCAATGTCAAGAAGCAAGCAGAGGAAAAAAAAAAAAGCTTTCTTCTAGTTTATGGCTAATTCCACATGGTGTAGGCTGAATAATCATTTAGAATGCTATCATTCTCTGGTCACAATGACCTCTCTTGGAAATATTTTCTTTTTAAATCACTTCTGCATGTATTGAAACCACTGGATAAGCATATTTTTGTACAGCTTTTTTTTTTTCTTTTTTCCTATTCCCAGCTCAATGCAGAAGAATTAAAATGCAACTAAACCTCCAGGATATAAACAATTGAGATGGAACACTCCCTATACAAGAGGTAAATATTTGGCTAATTAGAAACAATCAAAATGGAACAAACAGAACTAATCTCAAAAATGGAGGTAATACATATGTAATTAAAGAAAACAGCAGGTAAGGTTAACTTCATAAACTTTCATTTATTATAACAGGTACACTTTTTAAATTATTTTTTTATTTTTTTATTTTTTTTGAGATGGAGTCTCCTGCTGCTGCCCAGGCTGGAGTGCAGTGGTGTTGTCTTGGCTCACTGCAACCTCCACCTCCCGGGTTCAAGTGCTTCTCCTGCCTCAGTGCCCCCATGAGTAGCTGAGATTACAGGTGCTCACCACCAGGCCTGGCTAATTTTTTTTTTTTTTTTTGTAGTTTCAGAGACACAGGATTTCACCATGTTGGCCAGGCCGCTCTCGAACTCCTGACATCAAATGATCCATCTGCCTCAGCCTCCCAAAGTGCTGGGATTACAGGCGTGAGCCACCGTGTCTGGCCAACAGCTACACTTTTTAAAGACAGCACTAAAAGTATTTCCTAGGACTCAAGAACTACTTATCAATCTTTCTACTGTTCTTTTAATTTCTTCCTCCTCATCTTCTTCCTCTTTTTTCTTCTTCTTCTTTCTTTCTTATATATAATTGACATGTAATAAGCAGCTCATATTGAAAGTGTCTAATTTGAAAAATGTGTGCTATATAAATCGACATTCATGAAATCATAGCCACAAGCAAGATAGGAATTATGTCCATCACTCCAAATGGTTTCTTCATATGACATTATACTTATTTCCCCTTCTTTCTGTACATCTCACTGTCTGGTTCCAGGTTCCCTGACAACCAATATATACTTTCTGTCACTATAGTTTTCATGTTCTAATTTTTATATACATGCAATAATATTGTATATATTATTTTTAATCTATCTTCTTTTACTCAGCATAATTATTTTGAGTTTCATTCATGTTGTTGCATATATCAGAAACCCATTCTTTAATTGCTGAGTAGTATTTTATTCTGTCAATATACCTAAACTAGTGAATTTATTCCTAGTTGGACATTTGAGTTGTTACCAGTTTCTAGCTGTTGCAAATAAAGTTGTCATGAGCACTCATGTACAAGTCTTGTGTGGTCAGACCCTTTCATTTATGTTAGGTAAATTTTTAGGAGTAAAATGGTGAGATCATAAAGTAGTTATATGTTTAACTTTTTAAGAAACAGCAAACTGTTTCACAATTTGTTTGTACTATTTTACATTCTCAACCAGTGTATGACAGTTCCAGTTCCTTCATGTCTTCACTAGTTCTTGGTATAGATAGCCTTTCTAATAGATGTGCAGTGGTATTTCATTGTGGTTTTAATTTCATTTATCTAATTACTTTTAATATTGAGCATTTTTATGTGCTTATTTGTAAACTTTATATTTTTGGGGAGCTGGTGAGTTTACTTATTGAGTTATCAGAATTCGTTATATTTTAGATATGAGTTGACAATTTTTCTTTTACAAAATGTTTAGTTTTTCTGCATCCCTTCCCATATGAATTTTAGAAACTGCATGTAAATTTCTACAAAACATATTCTGGGATTTAAATTGGAATTGTGTTGAATCTATAGATTAAATGTTGTAATTAACATTTTAGCAATTTGAGTTTTCCAAACAATAAATATATCATATGTCTCAATTTATGTAATGACTCCTTTACATTTTTCCTTCCATGAAATCTAATTTTCAGTGTGCATGCCTTGCACATCCTTTTTCAGATTTACTCTCAAATATTTCTTATTTAAGTACCATTGCAAGTGATATTTTTTCAGGTCTTCTATATCCTTAGTGATAGCCTGTCTATCATTCTGCCTAACTGAAAGAGGAATTAAAGGAATTGTAGGAGAAAGAGAATTGAAATCAGTGGTTATAATTGTGAATTAATCTATTTCTCTGTGTAGTTCCATCAGTTTTTGTTTCATGTATCTTGAATCTGCCAATAGATTCACAAACATTTACGATTATTATGTTCTATCAAGGGACTGATTTTTTTAGCATTGTTAAATTACCTTATCCCTGGTAACACTTTTGCTTTGAATTCACTTTGTTCCATGCTAATATAGCCACTGTCATATTCTTTCAAATAGCATTACTATTATGTATAGTTGTCCACATTTTACTTTAAGCTAATGTTGTTTATATATGTAAATGTCCGGAGCTGCACGCCCCGGCCATAGCAAATAATAATTAATGATTAAACGCCCGAGCTCTATTCCTTTCCACCTTCTACCTCCTCCCTATATTTGTTGTTTCTCTTTTGTATCAATACCTCATAATAGATGGCGCTCTTCCTGCTTCTTCTTCACTTGTTTTTCCCCCTGCGTGGCCGCGAAAATTGTTACTTTGTAGCACAGGCACCATCCCGTGCCCGGGAAAATTACCAACTGACAGCGCAGGTGCAACATGACGTTCGACCAGAGAAACCAATACCTACTTGGTCACACCCTCTGCGATGAGATCATCTCCGCCTCTGGCCCAACCCCTTCCCCTCCAAGTGTATATAAGGCACTGCATTACCGCCATTAAACGAGACTTGATCAGAGCAGTGTCTTGTCTCCATTTCTCGTGTCTCTTGTTCCCAAAATTCCCACTCCCTCCTCCAGGGCCTGCTTCTACGATCCCACGGGCCGGGATATTTAAAGAGCCTATTCCTTTCCCAATGCATGTTCTTGGCGATTTTGTCAAAAATCAGTTGGCTATATATATTTGGATATATTTCTAGGCTTCCTATTCCACTTCATTAGTCTATTTATTTATTTATTATTTATTTATTTGTTTATTTATTTATTTATTTATTTATTTTGAGACAGAGTCTCCCTCTGTCCTCCAGGCTGGACTGCAGTGGCGCGATCTCGGCTCACTGCAAACTCCACCTTCTGGGTTCACGCCATTCTCCTGCCTCAGCTTCCCGAGTAGCTGGGACTACAGGTGCCCACCACCACGCCCGGCTAATTTTTGTTTTTATTTTTAGGAGAGATGGGGTTTCACCGTGTTAGCTAGGAAGGTCTCGATCTCCTGATCTCGTGATCCACACACCTCGGCCTCCCAAAGTGCTAGGATTACAGGTGTGAGTCACACCAGGACAATCCTGTTTTGGTAACTACTGCTTTTCAGTTATTTATATATTTAAAGTGTATTTCTTACAGAGAGATTATATTTGAGTCATGTTTTTTTCACACAATCTGAACATCTCTACCTTTTGTTTAGTACATTTAGACTATAATATTTAATATAATTGCTGGTGTACTGAGGTTTAACTCTATCATTTTTTTTCTATTTGTTTTGTATTTTTCTCAACCATTCATTTTCTTTCTTCTTTTCCCATCATTTTTGTGCTTTTTATATCTTCACCATATTGCTTTTATTGGTTTATTATCTGTAATTCTTTTTTATTTTTAATTGACAAAATAACTGTACATATTTATGAAGTACTGTGTGATATTTGGATACATATATACAAAGTATAATGATTCAATCAGGGTAATTAACACATCCACCTCCTCAAATATTTATCATTTCTTTATTTTGGGAACCTTCAAAATCATCTGTTTGAAAATACACAATGAATTATTGGTTCCCTACAGAGCTGTAATATTGTATCCATTAAACAACCACCCTCTCGCCATTTCTGCTTTCTTCTACCCTTCCAGCCTCTTGTAATCACTTTTCTATCATCTAAGTCCATGAAATCAATTTTTTTAGCTTTCACATCTGAAGGAGAACATTCAGTACTTATCTTTCTGTGCCTGACTTATTTCACTTAACCTAATTTTCTCCAGGCTCATCCAAGTCACAGTAAATGACAAGATTTCAACCTTTATTTATGGCTCAATAGTATTTCATTGTGTATATATATCACATCTTATTTATCCATTCATCTGTTGATGAACTCTTAGGTTGATTTCATATCTTGGCTATTGTGTATAGTGCTGTAAGAAACAAGGAAGTGCATGTATTCCTTCAATATACTAATTTTTCTTCCTTGGACATATACCCAATAGTGGGATTGCTGGATCGTATGGTGGGTCTATTTTTAGTTTTTAGAAAAACATCCATACTGTTTTCCATAATGGCTGTACTAATTTATATTTCTACCAGTAAGGTATAAAAGTTTTCTTTCTCTTCATCCCCATCCACACTTATCTTTTGTCTTTTGGATAGTGGCCATTCTAACTGCAGTGAGATGATATTTCACTGTGGTTGTGATTTTCATTTCTCTGTTCAATGATGGTGAGCATTTTTTCAAATAATTATTGGCCATTTACATGTCTTCTTTTGAAAAATACCTATTTTGATCAATTGCCCATTTTGAATTATTTGAGATTCTTTATTTTTTATTTTTGTTATTGAGTTCTTTGAGTTCTTGAATACTCAGGAAGTTAATTCCTTGTCAGATAAGTAGTTTGACATTTCTTTCATTCTTCAGGGTGTCTCTTTACTCTGTTCTTTGTTGTGCAGAAGCATTTTAGTTTGATTTGGTCCCATTGGTCCATTTTTGCTTTTATTGTCTATCCTTTTGAGGTCTTATCCCAAAAATATTTGCTCAGACCAATGCCCTGAAGCATTTATCCTATGCTTTCTTATAGTAGTTTCATAGTTTCAGATATTACATTTAAGTCTTTCATCCATTTTGAGTTGATTTTTGTATGTGGTGGCAGATTGGGATCTGGTTTCATTCTTCTGTTTATGGATATCTAGTTTCCCAGCAACATTCATTTAAAAGTCTATTCCTTTCCCAATACATGTTCTTGGCGATTTTGTCAAAAATCAGTTGACTATATATATGGATATATTTCTAGTTTTCCTATTGCACTTCATTAGTCTATGTATTTGTTTTTATACCAGCACAATCCTGTTTTGGTCACTACTGCTTTTCAGTATGTTTTTAAGTCAGGTAGTATGATACCTCCAAAATTGTTCTTCTTGCTCAAGATTGTTTTGCCTATTTGGAGTCTTTTGTTTTCATTCAAATTGTAGGATTGTTTTATTTTCTATTTATTGAAAATTGTCATTTGTATTTTGATGGGGATTGCATTGAATGTGTAGAATCCTTTGGCTAGTGTGGCCATTTTAACAATATTAATTTTTCTACTTTATGAACATGGGATGACTTTCCATTTTTGTGTGTCTTCAACATATTTCATCTGTGTTTTTTGGTGTCCTCATCTTGTTTTGGTGTGAGGGAAATGCTGCCTGTATACATTGAGTTTAGAAGAGAAAGAAATTCTCTCTTCAATTTTTTTAAATAGTTTGAGAAAAATAGATGCCAGTTCTTTAAATGTTTGATAAATCTCAGCAGTAACCCAATTCAGTCCTGAGCTCTTCTTCGTTGGGAGACTTATTACTGATGCAATCATGTTACCTGTTATTGATCTGCTCAGGTATTCTATTTCTTCCTGGTTCAATCTTGGTAGGTTGTATGTGTCGAGGAATTTATCCATTTCCTCTAGGCCTTTCAATTTATTGGCATATACCTGGTCATAACAGTCTGTAATGATTCTTTGGACTTCTGTGGTATCAGTTGTAAAGTCTGTTTTTGTTTGTGATTTTATTTATTTGTATCTGTATCTTCTCTCTGAGTTAGTCTAAGATGACTGTAGTTTTTTCTTAATATAATTAATGGTGTGTCAATTTTGTTTATCCTTTCAAAAACACAACTTTTTGTTTTGTTGATATTTTGTATTGCTTTTTCATTCTCAATTGTATTTATTTCTTCTCTGATCCTTATTGTTTCTTCTCTTTTACTAATTTGGGTTTTGGTTTGTTCTGGCTTTTTTAGGTCCTTGAGGTGCCTCAGTAGGCGAAACTCTACTTTTTTGATGTGTACATTTATTGCTATAAACTTTCCTCGTGGTCCTGTTTTTGCTGTGTCCAATAGGTTTTGTTATGTTGTATTTCTATTTTTATTTGTTTCAAGCAATTTTAATTTTTAAAAAAAATTTCTTCATTGATCCATTGGATGAAGCATGTTATTTAATTTCCATGTGCTTGTACATTTTCAAAATTTCTTCTTATTGATTTCTAGTTTTATTTAATTGTGGCCAGAAAATATACTTGATATGATTTCAGTATTTTTTAAACTTGAGATTTGTTTTATGGTATAACATACGGTCTCTCCCAGAGAATATTCCATGTGCTGATAAGAAGAATTTGTATTCTGCAGCTGTTGGATGAGCTGTTCTGTAAATGTCTCTTGGGTCCATTTGGTCTATAGTATAGTTTCAACCTAATGTTTCTTTGTTAATTTTCTGTCTAGATGATAGGTCCAGTGCTGTGACTAAGATGTTGAAGTTCCTAACTATTATTGTATTGTAGTCCATCTTTCCCTTTATATCTGATATTTGTTTTATATATCTGAATGCTCTTGTGTTAGGTGCATATATATTTACAGGTCTTATATCATCTTGTTAATTGTTCCTTTTATGACTTTATAATGATCTTCTTTGTCACTTTTTACAATTTTTTTAAATCTAAGTATATTTTTGACTAGATGGACACATGATTTTTATTCTGTCCGAAAAGACTTTCTTTTATTTTTTCTTGTAATGCTCTTTGCTGGAGAAATATCATTCATCTTAAACATTTTTATTGGTTATAGAACTCTGAATTGTCAGTTATTTCTTTCACATTTTGTTCTACTGTCTACTGTCTTCTTGCTTTCATTGTTTCTTCTGAGAAATACACTATCAAATTTTATTTGTTACAGTTTTCCTATATTTGTTTTTAATATTTCCTCTTTATTACTGGTTTTGAGTATTCAATTTTGATGTGCCTTGGTGTTTTCTTCAGTGTTCTTGTTGAAGTACTTTTTGGATATATAAGTATATTGTTTTCATCAAGTTTTTAAAAAATGGCAATTATTTTCTCAATATTTCTTCAAATAATTTTTGCCCCCTCCGTTTTATTATTATCAGAAAAGCTGTGGTCTTCATATGTCCTGATTTCAAATTTATTTCAAAGCTACAGTAATTAAAGTATTATGGTCCTGGCAGAAACATATAGACCAGGCCGGACATGGTGGCTCACACCTGTAATTCCAGCACTTTGAGAAGATGAGGTGGGCAGATCACTTGAGGTCAGGGGTTCGTAACCAGTCTGGCCAATATGGTGAAACCAAGTCTCTAATAAAAATAGAAAAATTAGCCAGGGTTGTTGATGTGCACCTGTATTGAGAGAGGCAGGAGAATTGCTTGAATGTGGGAGGTGGAGGTTGCAGTGAGCCAAGATTGTTCCACTGCAGCCTGGGTGACAGAGCAAGACTCCATCTCAAAAAGAAAAAAATATATATAATTAAATTTTAAAAATATATAAAATATATATTTCATATGTGTATGTGTGTATATATACATACACACACATGCACATATATATATATATACACACATACACATATGAGAAAGGAATAAAATAGACTGCCCAGAAATAACCCTCATTTATCTCATTTATCTGGTCACCTGATTTGCAACAACAGTGTTAAGATTATTTAATGA